TAGTCCTGGTTTAGTCTTGGTTTCCTGGTTTAGTCCTGGTTTAGGTCCAGGTTTAGTTCTGGTTTATTCCTGGTTTAGTCTGGTTAGTCCATTCCTCGGTTTAGTCCTGGTTTAAGTCCTTTTAGTCCTGGTTTGTCCTGGTAGTCCTGGTTAGTCCGGTTTAGTCCTGGTTTAGTCTGTTTAGTCTGGTTAGTCTTGGTTTAGTTCCTGGTTTAGTCCTGGTTTAGTCTTGGTTTAGTCTTGGTTTAGTCCTGGTTTAGTCTTGGTTTAGTCTTGGTTTAGTCCTGGTTTAGTCTTGGTTTAGTCTTGGTTTAGTCCTGGTTTAGTCTTGGTTTAGTCCTGGTTTAGTCCTGGTTTAGTTCTTCTTGTGAACAGAGAAACAAACATAAGTTTTTTCTCAGACGATCTTCAGCCTTTTTTGACAGCGTTTCTGACGTGTGCGTTGTGTCGTCACGGTAACTGCTGAACATATTGCCATAGAGATGCACGTAGAACACCCCCGGAGTGATGTTTCCGCCAAGAATCAATTTGTGAAAGAGTTTGAGCCGTAATAACCACGAGTCGCACGGACAGAGTCTCTTTGACAAACACTGGCTCCGTCTCTTGTGTTTGTCACTTTGGTGTTGACATTTACATCCGCTCTGCTTCCCCAGAACAAACGCTGAGTAAACCCACTGCCCCCGAACGCACCACGAACACACCACCACCCACAACAATGTCCCTGAACGCACCACGAACACACCACCCACCACAACAATGTCCCTGAACGCACCACGAACACACCACCACCCACAACAATGTCCCTGAACGCACCACCACCCACAACAATGTCCCTGAACGCACCACCACCCACAACAATGTCCCTGAACACACCACGAACACACCACCACCCACAACAATGTCCCTGAACGCACCACGAACACACCACCACCCACAACAATGTCCCTGAACACACCACCACCCACAACAATGTCCCTGAACGCACCACGAACACACCACCACCCACAACAATGTCCCTGAACGCACCACCACCCACAACAATGTCCCTGAACGCACCACCACCCACAACAATGTCCCTGAACACACCACGAACACACCACCACCCACAACAATGTCCCTGAACGCACCACCACCCACAACAATGTCCCTGAACGCACCACGAACACCACCACCCACAACAATGTCCCAACGACCCACCCGTCCCTGAACGCACCACGAACACACCCACCACCCACAACAATGTCCCCGAACGCACCACGAACACAACCACCACCCACAACAATGTCCTGAACGCACCACCACACACCACCACCACAACAATGTCCCGAACGAACACACCACCCCCCACAACAATGTCCCTGAACGCACACCACCACCACACAACAATGTCCCTGAAACACACCCCCACCAACAAATGTCCCTGAACACACACCACCACAACAATGTCCCTGAACACACCACACACCACATGTCCCTGAACACACCACGAACACACCACCACCCACAACAATGTCCCTGAACACACCACGAACACACCACCACCCACAACAATGTCCCTGAACGCACCACCACCCACAACAATGTCCCTGAACACACCACCACCCACAACAATGTCCCCGAACGCACCACGAACACACCACCACCCACAACAATGTCCCTGAACACACCACTAACACACCACCACCCACAACAATGTCCCTGAACGCACCACGAACACACCACCACCCACAACAATGTCCCTGAACACACCACCACCCACAACAATGTCCCTGAACGCACCACGAACACACCACCACCCACAACAATGTCCCTGAACACACCATCACCCACAACAATGTCCCTGAACACACCATCACCCACAACAATGTCCCTGAACGCACCACGAACGCACCACCACCCACAACAATGTCCCTGAACACACCACGAACACACCACCACCCACAACAATGTCCCTGAACACACCACCACCCACAACAATGTCCCCGAACGCACCACGAACACACCACCACCCACAACAATGTCCCTGAACGCACCACGAACACACCACCACACAACACAATGTCCCTGAATGCATCGGAACGCGCCACGACCCAGCAAATGTTCCTGAACGCACCACGAACAAACCACAACTCAACACAATGTTCCTTAATGCACCCAAACACACCACAACCCAGAACAATGGCCCCGAACGCACCACGAATGCACCCGAATGCACCATGGTCCACAACAATGTCCACGAACACATTACGACCCAACACAATGTCCCCGAATTCACCCGAACGCGCCACGACCCAACAGAAATGTCCCTGAACACACCCGAATGCACCATGACCCAGTACAATGTCCTCGAACACACCATGGTACAACACAATGTCCCTGAATGCATCACGATCCAGAACAATGTCCACTATCCAACACGAATGTCCCTGAACGCACCACGACCCAGTACAGTTGACAGGACAGAGCAAAACGTTTTCTGAATTTGTTTGGAACAATCTGGAACTGGAAGTATAAGGCACAGAGACTAGTGTACACACGAGGACCTGGTTCAGTCCTGGTTCAGTCCTGGTTTAGACCTGGTTTAGACCTGGTTTAGACCTGGTTTATTCCTGGTTTAGTCTTGTTTTAGACCTGGTTTAGTTCTGGTTTAGTTCTGGTTTAGTCCTGGTTTAGTCCTGGTTTATTCCTGGTTTAGTCTTGTTTTAGACCTGGTTTAGTTCTGGTTTAGTCCTGGTTTAGACCTGGTTTAGTTCTAGTTTAGTTCTGGTTTAGTCCTGGTTTAGTTCTGGTTTAGTTCTGGTTTAGTTCTGGTTTAGTCCTGGTTTAGACCTGGTTTAGTTCTAGTTTAGTTCTGGTTTAGTCCTGGTTTAGTCTTGGTTTAGACCTGGTTTAGTTCTGGTTTAGTTCTGGTTTAGTCCTGGTTTAGTCCTGGTTTAGACCTGGTTTAGTTCTAGTTTAGTTCTAGTTTAGTTCTGGTTTAGTCCTGGTTTAGTTCTGGTTTAGTCCTGGTTTAGTTCTGGTTTAGTCCTGGTTTAGTCCTGGTTTAGTTCTGGTTTAGTCCTGGTTTAGTTCTGGTTTAGACCTGGTTTAGACCTGGTTTATTCCTGGTTTAGTCTTGGTTTAGACCTGGTTTAGTCCTGGTTTAGTCCTGGTTAGACCTGGTTTATCCTGGTTTAGTCCTGGTTTAGTTCTGGTTTAGTCCTGGTTGAGTTTCAGGTCTGTTCTTCAGTCTTGATAGTTGTTTGGCTTGATTATATTTTCATAGTTCTACAGTTTTGGTCTGAACGCACAGCGTGAGTTTAAACACAGCGTGAGTTTGAACGCAGTGGCCTTGAACGCAGCGCGGTGATGTCATCCTCTTTTGTGGAGTGATGGACAGATCCATTCACAGAGAAAGAGAGAAAGAAAGAAAAAGAGAAAAAAAGAGACACAGGAGGCAGATACTGTATGGAGATGGAATATTAATTTACACCCAAATATAACAGAGAGGAAGACCTGGTTTAGTCCTGGTTTAGACCTGGTTTAGTCCTGGTTTAGACCTGGTTTAGACCTGGTTTAGTCCTGGTTTAGTCCTGGTTTTAGACCTGGTTTATTCCTGGTTTAGTCCTGTTTAGTCCTGGTTTTCCTGGTTTAGTCCTGGTTTAGTCCTGGTTTAGTCCTGGTTTAGACCTGGTTTAGTCCTGGTTTAGACCTGGTTTAGACCTGGTTTAGTCCTGGTTTAGTCCTGGTTTAGACCTGGTTTAGTCCTGGTTTAGTTCCTGGTTTAGTCCTGGTTTAGAGTCCTGGTTTAGTCCTGGTTTAGTCCTGGTTTAGACCTGGTTTAGACCTCCTGGTTTAGTCCTGGTTTAGTCCTGGTTTAGTCCTGGTTTAGTCCTGGTTTAGTCCTGGTTTAGTCCTGGTTCTTGTTTCTTTATGAAGTTGTTTTAAATCAGTCTTGTTCAGTTCACTTGATCTTTTTTCCGGATTCATGATCCATTTTTTAAACAGACGAGGACAAAACAAAACCACAAACATTTTTAAAAGACAAACACATCAGTGTCTCCACATGTTGGACTGACGTCTTATTGTTCTGAATCTCACATTTGTAAGTCACATGATTATTTTGTGTGTGGAGGAGCATGTGCAGTAGAGTCTTTTCTCCTGTGGACACACGCCAATGCACACGAACACACACGGATTATTAAACGTTTTTTAACTGAAGAGTTTTGAGCTGAGAAAAAGACTAAAAACGACCAAATCATCTGCAAACATGAAACGATTCAACAAGATTTCCAGCCACACGACACTTTTACAAGTTTTAAGCTTCGTTGAAAATTCATCTAAATACAAGTTCATTAACTGTGATTTAAATACTTAAAGGTTGTATGGGGGATTTTTTGTTTGTTTCAAATTGTCAGTGAAAGTATAAAATACCATGAGAGACGCAGCAGCCTTGTAATTATGATGACCAAAAAAAAAAAAAGAAAGAAAATCTATCAACTGTGGACGTGTTGAGGCCAGATAAACATCGGCCAATAGAAAACGAGGCTGCCTCATTTTCTATTGGCTGTCAGGTTGTCAATCAAACTCCCTACGTTTCTAAGGTAACTATGCAGCGGGTCTTAGGGGCTTTTTCTAATTGTGGCTCTCGCAGTTCGCATAAAGTTTGTTGCGATGTCGGACGAGAATCGACGACCAGTTCGCCACAAAAGAAAGTCCGTTTTTGACGTCGCTGAAAGAAGAAAAGGAGAAAAGGAGTGAAGACAAACTGAGGTGATTCTTGGAGATTCCTTCCAGCGATGGTGCGACTGAAGTGGACGAAGGGTCTAAAAACTGAGGTGTCGGTCTAAATTATTTCTCGAGGCTGTGGAGGAGGAAGGTGGTGTCACACATGCACTGCATTTGAAAAAGGACTGTCGCTGGATTTCTCTTTCCTTAAAAAAATCCTCTATACGACCTTTAACTTTTCTGAGTATTTCACGGATGATCACGTTTTTATTTTGTTTGTGTTTGTGTTTCAG